TTTGACGAAATAATTTCAGATCTTTTGGGTAAATATCCAGAAATGGGATTGCTGAATCATATGGCACTTTTATTCTCAGTTGTTTGAGGATCTCCCTACAGTTTTCCATATGGCTATATGAATTTACATTTCTACCAATAGTGTACAAGGGTTCTCTTTTCCCCACATCCTTGCTAACACTTGTTACCTTTTGTCTTTTTGATAATAGCCATTTTGACAGGTGTGAGATGATCTCATTGTGGTTTTAATTTGCCTTTCCCTAGTGACTAGTGATGTGAGCATTTTTCTTTTTTGAGATGGAGTCTCACTCTGGCCCAGGCTGGAGTGCAGTGGCGCGATCTTAGCTCACTGCAGCCTCCGACTCCTGGGTTCAAGTGATTCTCCTGTCTCAGACTCCTGAGTAGGTAGGACTACCGGCATGTGCCACCATGCCCAGCTAATTTTTGTATTTTTAGTAGAGATGGGGTTTCCCCATGTTGGACAGTGTGGTCTCGATCTCCTGACCTCGTAATCTGCCCACCTTGGCCTCCCAAACTGCTGGGATTATAGGCACGAGCCACAGCGCCCAGCTGAGCTTTTTTTTTTCATATATCTGTTGGCCATTTGTATGTCTTCTCTTGAGAAATGCCTCAAAAGAAGACATACAAATGGCCAACCAATATATGAAAGGCTGCTTACCCATTATTTATTTAGTTTTAGTTTTTGAGACAGGGTCTTGCTCTGTCATCCAGGCTGGAGTGGAGTGGCATGATCACGGCTCAATAAAGCCTCAATCTCCTGGGCTCAAGTGATCCTCCCACCTCAGTCTCCCAGGAAGCTGGGATTGCAGGTGCATGCCACCAAGCCCAGTTAATTTTTGTATTTTTTGTAGAGGTGGGATTTCACAATGTTGTCCAGGCTGACCTTTAACTCCTGGGTTCAAGTGATCTGCCTATCTTGGCCTCCCAAAGTGTTGGGATTATAGACATGAGCCACCGTGCTCAGCCTTGCTCATTTTTCAATTTTGTTTGTTTGCTTTCTTGCTGTTGACTTGTTTAAGCATTTTCTATATTTCAGATATTAACTCCTTATTGGATGTATGGCTTGCAGATATTTCCTTTTAATCCATAGGTTGTCTCTGCATATTGTTAATTGTTTGCTTTGCTGTGCAGAAACTATTCTGTTTGACGTAATTTGATTTGCCTATTTTTGCTTTTGTTGCCTGTGCTCTTGGGGTCAAATCAAAAAAGTCATTACCTAGAGCAATGCTATATAGTTTTTCTCCTATATTTTCTTCTAGTAGTTTTACAGTTTCTGGTCTTATATTTAAGTCTCATCCATTTTGAGTTGATTTTTGTATATGGATATGAGATAAGGGTCCAATTTAAGTTTTTATATGTGGATGTCTTATTTTCCCAATGTGATTTATTAAAGAAATAATCCTTTTCCCATTGTGTATCCATGGCATCTTTGTTGAAAATTAATTGACTATACATGCATAGGTTCATTTCTGGGCTCTCTATTCTGTTCCACTGGTTGGTATATCTATTTTTTATTTATTTTTGTCAGTCCCATGCTGTTTTGATTACTACAGCTTTGTGGCATGGTTTGAAATCATATAGTGTGGTAACTTTAGCTTCATTCTTTTTGCTCATTATTGCCTTGGCTGTTCAGAGATTTTTTTTTTTTTTTTTTGAATTCCTAGCCCAATAATTCCACCATCCCCGACATATTTAAGTCTGGTTCCCAGGCTTTCTTTTTTTTTTTGTTTTTTTTTTTTTTTTGGTGTTCATCATGGAATTAAATTAATGTAATCCATGTAGAGCATTCAGCAAAGTTCCTGACAGACTAAGTACTCAACAAATGGTGGCTCTATCTAACTGTAATATTGGAAACTGAGGCTCATAACTGAGGGTTATGTAAGTTGATAACCTTTACCCAGTAAGTCAGGACTCAACCTCCTAGTCTAGGGCTCTTTCTAAAATTGTTCTGCCTCCCCAGATACTCCCCAGCTATTCACTTACTATCCATTTACTACACTGCTACTTTTGACTTGCTAATATTTTATGAAGGATTTTTACATTTGTTTTCCTAAGTGAAGTATGATTCGCATTTTCTTTCATGTGCTATGTTTATTTGAATTGGACGTCAAGATTACAATAATTTTGCAAGAGGAGTCAGGTAGCTTTTTATTTTTACTGTTGAAGAAGAAGTCTATTGTTTAAGGATCTGGGATAACTTGTCTGTCAAACTCTATGCGCCTGGGGCTTTTTTCTCTTTTTTTTCTTTCTCTTGTGATAGACCTTTGGCTACTATTGAAATTCCTTTTATGGTAATTAGTTTCTAAGTTTTAAAGTTTGTCTTGGGCCACATTCAATAAATACATCTGGAAACTGCATTTCATTTAGGATTTAAAATTTAGTAGCACGTAAAGTCCACTGTAATTTCTTTTGATTTTTAAATTACAGCAACGCCCATTGGCATGTCATCATTTACACAGCTAATATTGTTTACTTGTCACTTCTTTCTTTGTTTTTCTGAATCACAATTGCTGAAATTGGTGTTTTTTAGGTGTCTTTTCAAAGACCCAGCCTGTGTCTTTGTAGGTCAATCCTAGCACTTTTTCTGTTTAATTTCTATTTTTATTTTTTCTCAATGATCTTTGGCTCTGTTTTGTTGTTCTTTTTCTAAGTTCTTCAGGTGAATGTGAATGTTTAGTTCACTCTTTTCTCAATTTTTAAATTTGCAATTCTAGCGTATTAACGTACATGGTTATAAACGTCCATCCAGACACCACTTTGTCTATATCACACATAGTGCTTTCACTGTCATTTGGTTCTAAATGTTTTGTAGTTGCTACTTTGATTTCTTGTTTAACCCATTAAACAGAAAGAGTGTTTTTAGGTCTTTTTTTTTTCTTTGAGACAGAGTCTTGCTGTGTCACCCAGGCTGGAGTGCGGTGGCATGATTTTGGCTCCTGAGTTTGCGCCGTTGCACTCCAGCCTGGATGACAGAGCAACCTTTGCTTCCCGGGTTCAAGAAAGTTTTTCCTGCCTCAATCTTCTGAGTAGCTGGGATTACAGGCATGTACCACCACACCCGGCTGATTTTTGTATTTTTAGTAGAGATAGGGTTTTACCATATTGCCCAGGAGGCTGGTCTCGAACTCCTGACCTCAGGTGATCCGCCTCCTTCAGCCTCTCAAAGTGCTGGGATTTACAGGCATGAGCCACCTCTGTACATTTAGAAACCTAAAAACACTATGACCAGCAGTGTTTTTAGGTTTCTAAATGTATAGAGGCTGGATAATGTTTTTTGAGTAGATTTATAATTTTATTATAGTGTCATCAATATGAGATCAAATTTTATGAAATTTATTCAGACTCCCTTTGTGGCTTAAACACAAGGGCATTTTTGTGGATATATCTTTTATGTGTATTTGAAAAGAATGTATAAACTGTTGGGCTTTGAAAAAAAATCTTTCATGCCTTGACAAGAATTTTCAGTTTCTGAGTGTGGTGTGTTACAGTCCGTTCTGATTGTGGCTGAAAGTACAGATAAGCAGAGTCAACAGATCTGCAAAAATATGTGAATGGCAAAACCCCAATGATTCCTCACTTAAGAAGAATGTGAAAGCCTTGGACTTTTGTGCTGGTGGTTGTAGCACTGCCAGGTGTCTTGATTCCACATAGTGACATTTTCTTGGCTGAGAAGCCCATGCATTATTCAGAGAGAAGGACATGTCTATGCTAGCGAGACACAAGCTGATTGGATGGAGGCCTTTGGACAGTCAGCTACTATTTCTTTTGCTCGCAAGAACAGGCGTTTGCTCTGCTCACTTTTCTGTGGATAAATGAAACCTCTGGTGGCAGACTTCCATAATTCTAGCCTTGTCTATTGGCAGCCTTTCCTGGGTATTTTGCTGGGCACTCACTCATTTCTATTAATTTTGGGACCAATCTGCTTCCCACTTCTACTCCAGCCGGTTTCAGTTGAATGACTTGTTTTATTTTCCTCTCCAAACTCTGTGCTTGCTAAAGTCCAATCTATTGAACATTTGCAAGTATTGTTACCTCTATGCACATTTTAAGATATAATTTGTGGGCCAGGCGTGGTGGCTCCTGCCTGTAATCCCAGCACTTGGGAAGCCGATGTGGGCTGATCAGTTGAGGCCAAGAGTTCAAGACCAGCCTGGTCAACATGATGAAACTCCATCTCTAGTAAAATATGAAAAAGTTAGCTGAACATGGTTGTAGGTGCCTGTAGTCCTGGCTACTTAGGAGGGTGAGGCAGTAGAATCTCTTGAACCTGGGAGGCAGAGGTTGCAGTGAGCCAAGATTGTGCCACTGCATTCCAGCCTGGGTGACAGAGTCAGAATCCATCTCAAAAATAAAACAAAGTAAAATAAAATAAAATTTGTAAAAATTCCAGTATGCTGGGGTTGCATTCATGTTCTTAAATCAGGCTCTGCAGTTCACTATTGCCATGTTCATTAGTAAGTGGATTTTAAAAAGCATTTTAAATAATATTAAAGTACTAATATTTTAATGTTTTTATTTAAAGTGTACAATTTGATAAGTTTTGACATATGTGTACATTTTGAATTCATCACCAAAACTCATGAACCTAGGCAATACCCTCCAAATGTGTCCTTGTGCCCTTGTAATTTCTCTCCATGTGAGTGCCTGACACTGGTCCCTCTAATTCTTCAGGCTGGTTCTTCGCCGGCTTTGGGCTAACCCTAACATGCACACATCTACCAGTACACAGCTACATTCCCAGGGAGCCACCCCAGCCTTCTCTCCCAGGCAAGGCTCTTTCCTAAGGTACGTTTTCTGCCTTGGTCTTCCCTAATTTGCAATTCCATCTCCTCGACACAGGGAGTCTCCCGGGCTCTCCACCCCTGGAAACTAGTTAGAAAGCTAGAGCAGTCACAGGCTGGGCTCACCTTGTTTCCCACCACGAGATCGCCATCCTTCATTGTCTGAAGTCTACTGCCTTGAAACTGACATTTCACATACCTTGTGCATATTTTTGTTGTTTCAGGTGTGAGGGTGAATCTGGTCCCTTTTCCTCCATATTGGCTGGAAGCAGAAGTCCCAGTGGATGTTTCTGAGCCCCTGATCTGTGCCAGGCACTGCTGTAAGCACTGAGTATTCAAAGATGAACAAAATGTTGTGGCCCCAGTCTTTTAAAATTTGCTATCAAGAGAAGAAGACAACAAGTAAATAAATACACAAAATTATTATTATTTTTGAGATGGAGTCTTGCTTTGTCACCCAGGCTGGAGTGCAATGGCATGATCTCAGCTCACTGAAACCTCTGCTTCCCAGGTTCAAGCGATTCTCCTGCCTCAGCCTCCTAAGTAGCTGAGATTATAGGTGCATGCCACCATGCCTGGCTAAATTTTGTATTTTTCACAGAGTGGGGTTTTACCATGTTGGCCAGGCTGGACTTGAACTCTTGACCTCAAGTGATCCACCCACCTTCGCCTCCCAAAGTGCTAGGATTACAGGCGTGAGCCACTGTGCTCTCTTTAAGTCTCTATGAGACTTAAATATAAGACCAGAAACTGTAACTACTACAAGAAAATGTAGGAGAGGCTGGGCACGATGGTTCGTGCCTGTAATCCCTTTGGGAGGCCAAGGTGGGCAGATCACAAGGTTTGTGACCAGCCAAGCCAATATGGTGAAACCCTGTCTCAACTAAAAATACAAAAAATTAGCTGGGCGTGGTGGCGCACACCTGTAATCCCAGCTACTCGGGAGGCTTAGGCAGGAGAACTGCTTGAATCTGGGAGGTGGAGTTTGCAGTGGGCTGAGATTGTATCACTGTACTCCAGCCTGGTGACAGAGCGAGACTCTGTCTCAATACACAAAATTATTACAGATGGTCATGCACGCTAAGAAGTAACCATGGACCAACATGAGAATAACGGAGACAGGAGTTGCTGCACACTAACAGTTTAAGTAAAGTCTGAAGC